AACTGAAGCTGTGAACAATCTCAATCTCTTCGCCATCCATCCTGATGCTACCAATTGGTCCAGTGGTGAGAATTTTTGTCTTCTTGACATTGTGCCTCAGTCCATATTGAAGGCTGCAGTCCCTGACCCTCTGCAGCAAGTGCATGAGGACTTTTTTATATGACTTTCCCTATTCCACAGACTTTTGGGAACATATTTATTGAAGGCTTGTGAAAATCTACAAAATAAAAACCAAATACTATTCCTTGAATTTAAGTGGCTGGATTTTTGCAACCATTGTCTTTATTATTTACAACATCTTTGTTCTTTAACAAGTCCATAGATAATGCATAAACATAAATGAGATTTGGTATTCATTTGTAGGAACAAAAAAAGTTAACATTTGGTAATGAAACGAACTTAGGTTATTGGGAGCTCTCACAGCGCCCCTGGGTCAGGTTGTTTTTCTGTAAGCAGCAGGGCCAAGAGGCCTGGTGAAAGTTTTGGGCGGAAATTAGACATCACAAACAGGCTTCTTCTGCTTTGGATGGGCTGGGGAATCAGAATGAGTTCAAGATCAATGACAAAAGAGAGTTACAGGGTGCATTTTTTTTTTTTACAGGCTCAAGCAATTTTAACTACTTATAGATTTCTTATCGATCATTCGGCTGTAGCTTCCTTCCCTCCCTTCCTAAAACCAAACTTATCCACTTCCAAGAAGCAGCTCTCGCTGTATTAAGCATAGGGTGTGGGCTTGCCGCTCTGGGACTTGATGCAAAAGGAGAGGCGTGGATTTTGATCAAGACAACCTCTCCCATCATTGATGGAAGCTGAGAGGGCAGTTCCCATTCAATACGTCCCAGAGACTAGAATTACGTGGAACGGGGAAATTGGGGCTGTTGTGGGCTTGGGAGACAGATTTCCAAGGGGGTTGGTAGTTTGGGTGGAAATACTCCTTGGAATCTCCTAGAAATGAGTGTTCCAGGCGTGGACTTCGCTCGCATCTTGGGGAAGACCCAAACCCACTTCCGGGTTTGGAAGCGCTCTCTCTTGGCCCCTCCCCGTACCCGGGGTTGGGGGTCCCCAGACGCATGCGCATCGCTCATTGGTCACACTGGGACTGGCCCAACTTACCCTAAACAACTAACCTGCTCTTCCCCCTCCCGCTTGGGGTGTACCACTAGCCTTTGGGGGGAGGGAGCGCGCTCCAGAGCACTCAGGGAGCCCTCTTCACTTCCTTAGAGAGGGGAAAAGAAATATCCCCAAGATTTTTAAAAAGTTCCAAGAATACGAGGGCCTTAGAGGCTCGTGGCTGATTAATAGCCTGGTACTCTCAGGTTAGCCCACAGATGATACGCTTCCTTTGAGGCGGCGAACAAAGTGGCACGCCCGGATCCCAGCTGATCAGCTGCTGGGCTTTGGCCGCGGATCCCCCGGGCGAAACCATTTGTGACTTCTCGGGAGGGGTGCGTCAAGAGGGGAGGGGGCGGAGCGGCCATTGTCCGGTCAGCGCAGCCTTCGGGGGAGGGGAGAGTGTTACGGAGTGAAAGCGGCCCGAGGCTTCGCCGCAGCCGCAGCTAGTCCAGAGCCGGCGGGGGCCTCAGGTCCTTCCCAGCGCCGCCGCAGGAGACATCGCTCTGGCGAGGGAGAGGCGGTGGGAGCTGGCGAGGGCGCCGGGTCTTCCCTCCTCCCCCGCGGTCCTCCGTTCACCCGTACGCCCCTCCTCCTCAGTTCCCCTCCTTCCACTCTCCGTGCCTCTCTGGGCCCCCCCGTCTCTTCAGGATCAGTGGTGCAGCCCGCCTCCAGCTGACCGGCCTGGAATCCCGGCTCGGA